GAGGTAAGTTCTGCTCTCGCAATCTTCAGCAACACCACACTAGAGATAGAAAAGCACTTTGTACCGTGTGACCCGTCGTGCAGCTGGGCCATCATTCTTCTCCAGAATATGACCTAATGTGGGAGTGTGTGGCTCCCATGGTCTGGGCTGGAAGGTTCCAGGGGAGGGTCATCCCTGGGGACTCTAGTGCTTTGGGAGCCTTCCTGGAGGAGTCTGAAGGCGAGGAGACGGGGGAGGCTGGAAGGGAGAGGCTCCTGGCAGGTGAGCGCTGCTGCCTGTCTATCCTGCCTGTGCTCTATACCCAGACGCAGCCACCCTGCAGTGCTTTCCAGAGAGCGCCAAGGACCAGTGAGAACAGCCTCAGCAGGCAGAATGTCCCAGGCCTGTGGGTCATGCTGCTCTGGAAAGTTTGGCTCTGGTAGCTTCCTCTAGAGACTGGCCCAGCTCTCAGCTGCCTGGGGCTGCAGCTCAGCCCACCCAGGCCCTGCAGCCCTCTGGGGCCAAAGCCAGATGCCCTGAAGCTTTCTTGCCCTGGAATGCCCTCCTTGCCATGACCTTGCATTTAACTTAGCTCAGTTTCGGCATCCCCTTCTCCAGGAAGCCTTTTCTGAGCCCCAGGGGTTGGGTTAGAACTTCAGATTGTCTAAACCTGGGCCGACTAAGGGAAAGTGTCATGTGAGCCACATATGTAATTTACAATTTTTTCGTGACCGCATGAAAAAAAACAACAAAAAGAAACCAATGACAGATTCTAATGATATATTTCATTAACTCAATACATCTAAGATCTTTCAACACAAAAATGACTGAGCTGCATTGTACTCTTTTTAAATTAAATCTTCAATGTCCAGTGTCAATTTTAGACTCATGGTGCACCTCAATTTGCATCCGTCACATTTCAAGTACTCGTTAGCCACATGTGGCCAGCGGCTACATAGTGGTCAGCCCAGCTCTGGAAGCAGAGAGAAGAGCATAAGGATTGATGCTCAGGGTTTGGCATTAGATGGACATGGCAGTCACATCCTGGCTCTGCCATTTATTTGCTGGGTGAACTTTGGGAAGTCATTAACCCCTTTGAGCCTCACTTAACTTTAGCTGTGAAAGGAGTGAATGATTTTGATGTTAGAGAGTTATTGTAAGCATTACACAAATGAATGGTGTCTAGTGTCAAGTATAGAGTAAATGCTCAGAAAATGGTGGCAATTCATCTTACATTGCCCTCTGATGGGCCAGCTTATGTGCTGTTCTTTCCCACGGGACTGACTGTGAGTCCAAGGACAGAGGCTACCCAGTTCCTCTTGCCTTCTCTGAGTCCAGGGCCTGGCTCAGTGTGAACATCTGCTTGCTGAATGAAAGATTAAATCCTTGGGCTAAGAATGCTAGCCACCCACAAACCAAGGGACCCCCACAATGGCTGGGAGTCACGAGACCACAGACTACTTGGGGTGACATTGGCAGAGACCACTGAAGATAAAAGAGGGGGTACGAGGGGCCCTCCTTGCTTGAAGGTTTCATCTCTGCCCCAGCTTTGGGGTGCTGTTGACACTGTGTGCTTTGCCTTCCCAGCCAATGGAGTGAATAACTTCCATCCTTCTCCTGGCTTTTCTTTATCCTGGTGCTTTTACATCAAGTTCCCTTGAGTTAAGATTTAAGAGAAAATAATTTTTCCACCTCCTAGGCAGATCAGAGAGAGAATGAGGGGTCCTGTCCTTCCTCTTTTGCCAGCATTTGCTAACCTCCCATCACACCAACCCAGTAACAGAAGTGGAGCAGAAGAATTTCTCCCATTTTATATGTAATTTACAATTTTTTTTTTACAATTTTTTACAATATAGATGAGAATACAGACTCAGAGAGGTCAAATAATCTGTCCAAATAACACAGACAGTGGTAGAGCCAGGGCTGGAAGCAGAATTCAGAACTAAGGGAACTGAAAAGGCCCTCTTCATTGGTTCGGCTCATGTTTGTCCACCAGGGCTCCCAGCATCTCTCCACAGGGCTTTCATGAGAGGTGGTTCTGGGTTGGGTTCTATTCCTGTGCCTCAGTTTCTCTGCCTGGGGAATGAAGGCAGCAAAGTAACTGGAGTGTACATTTCAACAGATGACCATAAGGGGCTATGTGTTCTTCAGAGCAATCCCCCAAACCTCCCCCCCACAACAGATTTCTCTGGGAAAGGTTATGACAGTGTCAAGTGGAAAGTGGTCCAGAGAGCTAGGGTGACTGAGTAAGTGTAACCTTGGACAAATCACTCACCCCACTCTGGGCTCAGTCTGCCTACTTATCAAATGGGGATGGTATCTTACAAGATGTGAAGATCACCCATAAAAGTACTTTGCAAACTGGAATGTGCTACTAGAAATATTGGTCAATAATAATCATTGGAAATCTTGACAGTTGGGATCCCTGGGCGGCGCAGCGGTTTAGCGCCTGCCTTTGGCCCAGGGCACGATCCTGGAGACCTGGGATCGAGTCCCGCATTGGGCTCCCGGTGCATGGAGCCTGCTTCTCCCTCTGCCTGTGTCTCTGCCTCTCTCTATCTCTCTCTGTGACTATCATAAATAAATAAATTAAAAAAAAAAGAAATCTTGACAAAGAAACCCACTTTTCTGGGTAGTCCCACTGACCTGAAGGGAATTGGGCCTTTTGAGTATAAATCCAGAATGATGTCTGGGAACATCCCGCCTCTGTCTTTGGAATGTAGCTTGGATTCTTCTGGGAAAGTGAGAGGCTCCATCTAGCTGAAGAGGGTGGGAAAGTAGCTCTGACCCAGGGGAGGAGGGAGAAGGAAGGAAGGGGAGGAGGATCCAGAGAAGGAGAGTGAACTAGAAGGAATGAGGATTTTGGCCTTGTGGTCTGTCCTGCTGTCAGGAGCCTGAGGCTGGGAAGGTCAGTGAACAGAAGAGGCTCAATCTGGAATAAAAATACTGACCAGCAGGGAGTCAAGGATCTCCTGCCAGATGTGCATAGGAAATAGTAAGTTCATCTGGTTAACTCCTAAGTTTTATTGATCCTTTTGCTTATTTATTTGAATAAATACGTAGTAAAATCTGGAATAAAAATACTGACCAGCAGGGAGTCAAGGATCTCTTGCCAGATGTGCATAGGAAATAGTAAGTTCATCTGGTTAACTCCTAAGTTTTATTGATCCTTCCGCTTATTTATTTGAATAAATATGTAGTAACTGAACTCAAACAAAGCATCCCTAGTGGCAAAGTGACTTGCCCAAGGTCATGCCCCTGAGGGCCTGGGGAGTTCCTGGGAGGAATCTGGGAAGCTGGAGAATGAAAAGTCCAGAGGGAAGGAGGACATCTGTAAGGAAGTCTGCCCAGCGGGACTCCAGTCCTTCTGTGAATTGGCTCTAGGCTGCTTTGTCCATCTTCCCAGCTCCTGTCTGGAGCAAGGGCGTGTTCTCTAGGACTGGGAGGAGCTGGCTTCCTTCTGCTCACTCTCTGCCCACTCCTGAGCCTAGTGGACAGCAGGGACAGTGAAAGGACTGGAAGCTATGTCTTGGGAACATCTGGTAAAGGACTTTTCATGTTTAAGTTGGAGAAGATAAGGCTCAATGTGGGGGTGGAAAAAAAGGACACAGTTGCTATCTTGAGTTCTCTGAGGGGTGCTGGGAAGAAGGCCTGGCCTCATTCTGCAGAGACCCTAAGGGGTGGTATTAGGACATAGGTCATCATGATGGAGTAGCCACCTTGGGTGGGAGAAGTGGAAAGAGGGAGTAGAGGTGGATGTTGGTGAGTTGACACTGAGCAACACAACCCATTGGTGAGGCTGACACTGAGGGAACTGCAGCTTAGGGGAACAGATGGTCTGGCTGGTGTCTGGGCTGCTTCCCAGCTTCAGGCCTCTGTGGTTTCTGCTGCTATGGATTCTGGGGTGCCTAGAACAGTGGCTAGCACACAGTAGGTACTTAGGAATTATTTGAAGAAAGAAAAAATCTGTGTATGCCTGGTGGAGGGGAGGGCTGGGGAGTAGGGGTCATGTGGTCTACAAATGTGGACTGTGGGCAGAAATCTTTGGAGATTATGTTGGGAGTTACCTGCTGTCTTCCCTGAGGCTTCCTGCATGAACTGTGACCCCAGAGATGAGTATGTCCAACTCTTTCTTTGACTGAGAACAACTTGCCCAAGACTATTGGCCAAGACAGTGGCAGAGCTGGACCAGATCTCAGGCCCTCTGCCTCCCAGAGCCCTCTGCCATTTGAGGTCATTGTCTGTGGACATAGGGAGTCAGAGCTGTGGTGGTTCAGACCAGCTTTTTGAGTTAAGTGCTGCTGAAGGGCTTTCATTTGGTTTTGATTCATAGCCTCAGTGCTACAGACCCCTTGGCTACCCTTGCCCCACACCTTCCTGGAGCCTACATGCACACCCAGCTGTAAACAGGCCCATTCCTCAGTTACCCTTAGGGTCATTGCCACCAAAGCACACGTGGGCAAAAGCACATGTACACACTCAGACACACAGGATCCCAGGGGATGTTGGCACACACCTTCTCCCGGATGGGGGAGAAGCCCCGAGTACCCCCCCGGAGCCTGTGCCCTTCTTGGCTGCTGGGGAGGTGGGGGTATCTGGCTCCTCGGTGGGCTGGGAGGCCCACTGAGTCTGAGTCACCCCTTCTGAGTCAGGGATCCTCCCCCTTCTTCTCCCCTCCCCCTTCCCCTGTCCCCGCTGAGCTCTCCAGAGAGGCGGTCCCCGCCAGGAGGGCCGAGGCTGGCCCGAGGCCGGCCGGGGTGGGGGCAGCAAGGCCTCCAGAGTTGGCTCCTTGGCACCACGGCGGTCCCGCAGGGGTCCGGGAACTGCCAGCGGCCGCGCCGGGAAAGAGGTGGTGGCCCGGGAGCCTGAGAGAAAGAGAGAGAGAGAGAGAGAAGGAGGAGGAGGAGGAGGAGAGGGAGGCCGGCGGAGAGGAGGCGGAGGCAGGGGCCGGGCCGCCGGAGGGACCAGGCAGGCGCGCGGCGGCCGCCCCTGGGCTGGGCGCGGAGGCCGGGCGGGGGCGGGGGCTGGCCGCGCGTCGGGCGCCAGGCCCGGGGCTGTGGGCACGGTGCCCAGCCCCCGGCGCACGCCGAGCCGCCGCCGCCGCCGCTGCTGCAGTCGGCATCCATCAGCGGGCGGGGGTGTCGCGGAACAGGCTGCTCCGCAGAGCCCGCCGCGGCCCCGCGCGCCCGCCCCGCCCCGCGGCCTGCCGGCACCCCCACCCCCCCGCAGGAGCCAACGGGGCGTCCCCCCGCCCAGCCTGCCCGAGATGGGGACCCCCGGCCTCAGGTAGGCACGTGGGGGGGATCAGGTGGCACCGGGGAGGGCGCTGGGGACTCAGGACACGTAGGCCCAGCCTGCAGCCCTGGGGAGGACTGGGGGCGAGACCGGGAGGAACTGAGTTTGCCGGCTCTTGGCCCCCTGGCCTGCGTGGGGGAGATCCGTAGCTGTTCCTCCCCACCTCGTAGGTCTGCAGCCTCCCCAAGGCCTGGAGAGAGAGGTGGGCTGGCTGTGGGCTGGTGGTTACTGTTGGGATGAATGGTTGCTGGGTGCTGGGCTCCCTGGCTGGGCCACTCTGTTCTCTGAGACGCTCCTGCCTCCTTTGTGGAGGCCAGAGGCTCTCTGGATCTCTGTGTCCAAGCTTCAGATGCTGCAGGCCAGTCAGTCTCGTGGTTGGAGACTGGGGTGCAGGGCGGCTCCTGTCCTCTCTCTCACCCTCTGGTTGTAGACCTTTTCCCACCTGGGCTCACTTCCCACCCCATCTCTCCTCCAAGTCACCCAAAGCTGGGTGATGGATAATAGTCCTGGGACCTGTGGGGTTCTGGTTTCCTATTGTTCTGGCCAGAGATTGCCCCCCCCCCCGCGCCCTGATTAGAGGGAGAGGACTTGTGGGTCCTAGTTGTGTCTGGCACCTTCATGCTTGGGAGTGTCCAAGGGCCTGAGAAGCAGGGGTCTGGAGGACAGGAATGGGGGGAGGGGGCGGCAAGTGACTACAGCCACCAGGCTAACTTACCAGGGGCTGAGGCCACTGCCTAGCAGAGCTACAGCCCCAGGATGGTCCATGGGGACCTTGACTAGGAAGGAGTTCTGAAGACACTGGTCTCCTTGTTGGCTGCCGGCTGTGGTCCTTGCCACCCTCCCTGCCCCCTACCTCTGAGAATGCATTGGTGGGGGAGAGGCACTACCACGAGTTCCTGCCTGCACTTCTGGATCTGCATATCACCTCCTCTGCAAAGGTGGGAGTGTAAGAGGGCTGGATTTAGGACCTCTTGGGCTGTGTGGGGTCCGGCTGCTCCCTACCTCACAGCATTAGGAGTCTTCCAGAATTAGCAGCAGTTGGGCCAGGTTGAGAGGTGGGGACAGGAATAGTGTCCCCAGAAGCTCCTGGAAGACAGTGCTGCCTGACCTGGACAAGGGTGTGGAGAATAGAGGTGGCTCTGTGCCCGCCTGCCCACCCATTCCTCCAGATGGAGCCTGCGGCAGAGGCAGCCTGTGCCAGCCTCCTCTCTGAGCCACTGTGGCCCAGGGAGGCACTGCCAGCTCTGTGCAGGGATGAAGCTGGCTTCTCCTGGAAGCCTGAGGTCATACCTGCTGGGCAACCCCTTGCACAGTCCTTGTGGTACGCAGAGCATGGTCCCTTGAGGGCTGCCTCAAGGCAGTCCTGGAGATCCGTGCAGGGGGCAGTGTTGCTATTAACATCCTTCCTGGGCCATATGGCAATTCCCTGGCCTCAGCTCTGTGAGCTTCATGGAGCTTTCATAGAACCGCATGAGAATGATGCTTGGCCTCATAGCCCTCACTTAGGAAATACTGAAAGCTTGAATGAGGCCTAGAGAGAAAGAATGACTTGTCCAAGGTCACGTAGCAGCTGAGTGGGAGAGCCAACACTAATGCACCCAGGTCTCCTATCCCTGGTTTGAGATTCTTGCAACCCAAATGCCTGCTTCCCTGTTGCTGTGGCTGTCCCATACACAGGTGTGTGACAGGGGCTGGGCATTATAGCATGGAGCCCGAGGCTACCCTTGAGGAGTCTCCTAGCCCATGCCCCCAAAATGTGAGGAGGAAATGTCAGGCTGCCTCACAGATAATGGGCCAAGGCTGAAGCAATGGGCAGCCAATAGCCTTTGACCTTGTTAGTATATGGAGCCAAGAGGATGCTGGATGGCCAGAGATATTCTGGGCCTGAGCCTCCAGAGAAAGTAGATAGGGTCTTTTGACTGTACTAGCAAAGATGGGAAGTACCTCTGTGTTAGCTTCAACATGGACTTCTCTGGGGACCTCTCTGGGCTTCTGTGTCTCCATTGATTAAAAGGGGATAATAATCTCTATCTGGAATAATATCAGTGATTGTGCAATCAGGATGAGGGCATTTATTGAGCACTTACTGTGTGCCAGTGCTTTGCATTATCTCACAGCCACCCTGTCAGGTATTATCTACTTGTTACAAATGAGAAACTGAAGCTCAGAGAGGTTGTGTCACCTGCCTGAGGTTACATAGCTGGAAAGCATGGGGCTGTCTGCATCCAGAGCCTCTTTCTCTACCATGACATTATACCTGGGTCAGTGTCTGGGAGTACCAGGTTGGCGTCCGGCAGAGCCACAACTAATCAGCCATAACTGATATGCCAGGGCTGATCCCAGTGGAGAGGTCTGTGTTGGATCTGGTGAGACAAAGGTGGTTCTGTGGCTCAAGTGCTCCTCTGGTCCGGAGGGGTAGGGGCATAGAGGTACTAGCTAGGAGCCCTGAGAGAGAGGTCGCCTTGGCCTTCTGCTTCCAGGCTAGGATCCCCTAGAGGTGGGGCTGCTCTGGGCCCCCATAAGCTCTCTAGGATGACTTACTGGCTTTTTTTTTTTTTTTTTTTTTGACTTATTGGCTTTTAGTCTAGTTAGCCCCCATGCTTACCCACTCCTACCCCTGCTGCATTTGATAGGATCCTAGTTACCTGAAAACACAAGGGTGGGAATGCAGGGCACCAGCTAGTGCTGTGACAAGGAAGCGCTTATAGGGAGGGGGCCTGAATCTGGGTGGATGAGTGGGGGTGAGAGAAGGCTGACACTGCTTCCTTTGTGGGCGGGAGGCTTGTGGATAAGAATAGTAACAGCCAGCATTTATTGAGCACCTATTACATGCCAGGCACTGTGCCTGTACAATTCATACGATCTTCACAAAACCCGATGGTAGGAATTATTCTTCCCATCTTATAGGTTGAGGGAACTGAAGTTTACAGGCAAGGGAAAGACAGTCACTCAGGGTCTTATGGCTAGGTCATGGGGGAGCCCTGATTTCAGTCCAGGCAGTGTGGGCCAGAGCTGTGTTCCTGATGGCCATGCCAGCAGCCCATAGTTTCTTCTCATAGGTTGTACTTGGTTTTGTTCAATTTGAAAAATAGTCTCTGAGTACCTCCCGCAGGCCCCACATTGCCTCTAAGGAAACATCCCTCTCTTGTCTTCAGGGGTTCACTGTCTAGCTAGAGAGGGACAGACAGATACAGGGAGGGTAAAGAGCTACTGTTCCATATGTTAAGCATGGGTTCCTATTTTGGTGATCAGGGAAGGCTTCCAGGAGACTTTGCACTGGGAACCAAAGGCCCAAGTGGAATTTCAGTGGCAGTGAGAGAAGGCCACCCACTCCCTCAGGTCAGAGGGGAAATAGGAATGCCTTGAAGAAGAGTGGGTGGGTTGATATGTGTGGAACAGATAGGGGGCCGAGGAGCTCTGGGAGGTGACTCAGAAAGCTTGAGTGTGGGTCCTCAGCAAGGCTCTGGAATCTACCAGATCTAAGCTCTAGTCACAGCTCCATTGCATACCAGCCACGTGCCCTCAGGCACATCACTTAACTGGCCTGAGCTTCAGTTTCCTCAGCTGTAAAATATGGATAAACACACCTATCTTGTAGAGGCCTCCTGTGGTTGTTGTTATGTAAAGGACCTAGCACAGTGCTGGCACATCCCAGTAAACATTACTTCTCTCTCCTTTCAGTCTCTGTCAAATGTCAGGCTAAGGTGTTTCTACTTGACAGGAGCTTGGAGGCTCCGAGAACCTTTGTCCATCTTGGGTGTGCACGGGGCAGGCATGCACTGGGGCATGACAGAAGTGTTTGGGAAGGTCCCTTTGGCGACTGGAAGAACCCACACGGAGGGGAGGGACTGCAGCCTTGCAGGAGAAACATCAGCCCTGTGGACTTGGAGGGTGAGAGAGGGAGGAAGGTTGACAAGGCACGAAGATGTCCTCTCATGTGGTTGAGGTGGGGCAGGCCACAGGAGTTATGAATTCTGAGTGAGGCCTCATGAGCTTAAGATGTGTCCCTTGAAGGTGGCGTGGCATCTTTGTGCATCTGGCTTTTTCTTTTTTTTTTTTCTTTGAATAATTTCCTTTGGATGAATCCCCATCAGAGCTTCCTGCATAATAGTGGTAAATTGGGACTAAGTGCCCAACAATAGGAAGATGATTGAGAACGTTTTGGAACATCCAGCGGATAAAATAATATATAGCCATGAACAGCCACAGAAATACTTATTCCTGCAGCGTATGGAGTGTGTACTTGCGAAGCTCCTTTGCATCCTTTATTTACTTCATGTCTGTGTGACAGAGGTGGGACAGGGGTTAGATTCCTCCAGTGCAGTAAAGAGATTCAGGCGAGCTTCTAATCTCCTTGAGGGCAGGGTTCATGTTTTATTCATTGTTCTGGCCTCAGCATGTAGCTCAGTAGCTTGCAGATGCTTGTCCAGTGAAAGAATTGATTGAAGGAACAAAGCCCAGGGGAGTTGGCTTGTCCAAGGTCACCCAGGCTGTAAAACCGAGGAGCTGGTCTCCTCATCCCTACCTGCCACATTCTTCCTCACCCCTGAGGAGCTGCACCGGGAGGAAATAGGGTGGAGGGGTTCCTAGCCAAGGTTGGGATGCACATGACCAGGGTTACATCTACTTGCTGTCCTTCTGAGCTGCTAGGCTCTGGCAAATTGATCTTTTAAGCCTCACTTACCCCATCTGTAATGTGCACTGCCCAAGAATCTGTTTTTAGGGTTGTTGTCAAGATTAAATGATTTAGGCATGTAAAGCTCTTAGCACCATAACTAGCACACAGTAAAGCACCCCTGAATATTAGCTGTGATGATAATGATATAATAATGTGGAAATATTTCTGATACAATTAATGTTAAATGGAAAAAACCCATAAAATTATGAGCACTCAGATTGAAGTGGTGTAGAAATTAGGTATGACCATAGATAACAGATAGGAAGAGAACAGTCAGAAACGGAATTACAGCAGGTACAATGGAGGTTAATAA